GAATTCTGGGAGTTGAAGTCCACTCATCTTAAAGTGGTCAAGTTTGGACAACACTGTCTTACATCTTTGGGTTATTGGTAGTCATACTTCTGAGACTACAGTAGCAATGTTACACTGCAGTAAAGGAACAGAGAAGTACTAGTGCCTCAATATAAGTGAAGTATGCTGTCTTCCTAGAATTGGTACAGTAGACGTGTTGTCACATGGTCATCCCACTGAGACCTTTTTTCTCAGTCCTCAGTACTGTATACCTGTAGCTGATGTCCCTGTTGTAGCTGGGGGGAAAATTGTGGTGGAAGAAGAGCTTGATTTTTCTTACAGCTTTCTTTTAAATGATGGAAAGTAGAGAATCCTGAGAAGGTTTGAGTGAGATAGCAACAAACATGTACCTGAAGTGGGAACTTCAAGGCGATGTTATAATCCATAGAATCCATAATAACATGTCCTTCAAAGTAATTTGAGAAATAGCATTTCCTTTTTCAGGGGAATAACCCTATTGGTTAGAATAACTTAGCAGTGTCAGTGTCAGTATCTGACATTCTTGGATTGTTGCTATGTCTCAGCACCTAGGCAGATATTTGCTCTGGATCTTCCTTATTTTTTCCTTGGGTCCATACTTCTAGGAGCAATGGGCTGCTGGATTATCCTTCAATTCTCATTATGTCACTGACCCTGTGGGGAATTAGAAAAATGGCCTATATATGCAGCATTGTTCAGGTTGCTTGACAAACTTATCAGAGTTAGCTACCAGGAAGAAAACCCACTAGAAGTCAAAACCCAAAGTAACACAGGTTGCCATTCATTCCTGGATGGAAAGGCCCATATTTGTCAATTTCTAGAGAAGGTTTGTTCATATGGAAATTTCTACTTATTTCAGAAGGGAATATGGATCCTGCATCTGCTGATCTAAGAAATTCATCTTTACAACAGCATCCCAGTGAAAAGCACAACCTAATATTTGACTGCAGTAACTTGACTTTCTTTGACTACACTGGTATCTCTGTACTTATTCAGGTATTTATGATCATCTGTATGTCCACCCACCTCCATGTGCTTTTTAAATAAAACTCATTCTACATTTAGTTTGTTGAAGCCGCCAATGAAGGCAGAAGATTGGTACTTAAAAATAAACACCCCTTACTTATTTTCATTAAGTTTGCATATAGATGAAGGAAGCCTTCCTTTTTAAAAATATTTACCTTTCCTTCAAGAATATCGCAACCCCACAATTCAAAACTATATACTTCTTGACATTCCTGACGTAGGCATAAAGCTACTGTATCGTGATGTTTCTGATTGGAGTTTAGAGGTCTGATTCACTTCCTGAGTATCACAATGTGAAACTAGCTCTTCCATGTGAAGTATGTTTCAAGAGAATAATTTACTCTTTAGTCGGTGAGTCATTTTGTGGGGTAAATTGGGAAGGATGTACATGGAAATCAAGTCTCACTCTAGAAGTTATATCTACACATTGTGGTACATTGAAACTTTTATTGAACAGACCAACTGCAGGGTTAAATCGGAAACGACACCATTTTAGTGATTTATATAGTTTGCATAATGACATCATTATGCCAATAACCCAAAGGATATCATTGGTGACAATTTACATAATTTGCATGATAATGTCATTGAAACAAATTACATGGATTTAACAGAAATTTAATTCTCTTGTCCAGACTATTTCAGATGCGAAGGGCTTGTCCTTTATTTCAGGGTAACATCCAGACAGAAATTTGGTCCATTGCAACTGAAGGGTGCTAACTGGAGATTTCTTAAATTAAAGTTTCATTCTATATTTTCTTTTTCTTCCTATGTTAATTTTAGTGTAGATTTTAAAGTGAATCCAAGTAAATTTACAGATCATAAAATTTATGTACATACAGTATCAGAACTTTTTTATCTTTTAAACTCCACAAAAGAAAAAAACTTCACCAAATTTTGCAATTCCAACTGATATAATATGCACTAGAAAATGTATGTTTTGGGATAAAACATATTTTGTAATGCATATTTTATCCAAACACATCATGAGAAACATATTTTAATACTTTTTTTTTTCCAAATTCACAAATTGGAGCAGAAATGGATGAACATGAAATATTAAACTGATCACAGAACTAGATTGCCAGGAAATTTCTTCATTGTTTCAGGATGATGATGGCTGCTGCTTTTTTACAAAATATGCTTTTCCCCCCCCCCCCCCTTTCTGCTCCAGTTCTTCTGTTTCCTATAAATATGACCTATCCAAAATCCTTGGCAGCTTCCTTTGCTTGGGTTGGATGTATAGCTCCTGGAAGGTTTACATAGTAAAGGAATGTTCAGGTCTGATGAGTGAAACATGCCAATATTATTGCTTTGTAACTGGATGAGAGAGAAGTAGTCAGAGAGTCAAGCCATATGACATGTCTTGTTTGCATTTGAATGTTTTTTTTCTTTTTTGTGGAGGATTTTATTGGATGTTTCTGAAAGCCTTTGCCAGGTTAAAGATGGTGTGATTTGCCCTTAAGGAACCTTTGCCTGAGCAGTTTCACTGTACCTGAAAGTATCAGCAATAGCAATGATAAGGGTCTTGTGCATCTCCTTGCAAATTTCCAGTTAGCCTTCAAAGTGGCAATTTTTATATCTGTCAACTGTCATCCATTAGAGAAATTCAAGAATCCTTTAGTTTATATTGTTGTCCCAGCAGAGGCTGTCTAAAATTCACCTTTAGGCTTTGTTTTAGATAAAATTGGGGGAAGAAGTATGGAAGGGATTCTTGGCATACTATTGGAGTAGGTATTAATCTGTTCTGATTTTTTACATTGTGTTCTAATGCATCAGCACAGCTTCTTACGGCCTACCCAGGCATTTGAAGTAACACAATGGAGAAGTCACAATTTGAATATTAATTGTAGATTAGGTGGGGAGCAACTGCAAGATGATTATTAACTTCATACTCTCTTTTTGGATTTCCAAGAAGGGTGGCCACTGAGGAGCAAAATGTAGCAGTAGATAGACGTTTCTTAATGAAGCAATTTACTGTACAAAGTTGCATTTTGCCTTATTCTGAGTTACAAAACCATGCTATTTTAGGGAATGTTTATACTATAGAACACTTCCCCCTAGTGGCCATTTGAAATGCAGCCTGTGATCCCCATTCTTTTCCCCCATCGTCTCCCACAACCTACCATGTATATGGTAAGACCTTCAAATAAGTCCAGAACTAATCTTAATTGTTTTCAACATTTACATTGGCATTCTATTAATCATTCCCAATGGGAGTATGCCTGTCTTTCCTCTGCATATAAGAACTGCTTTCAGCTAGATTATTTCTTGATTTCTCATTCTTTGACTCCTCAAGTTAAAGCATGTGATATACTGTAGATGCTGTTATTACTTCAGAGCATGTTCCTATTGAGCTCATTGCTTTGAAAATGCATGGGTTCACAAAGATACGAAGACTATGAGACATTATAATAATGTTTTTCAACATTCACACAAGGTACAAAATTGAAAGGCACATGAGCTGGAAGAAATATATTGGGAAGGAGATAAAGTAATAAAATTATTTCAGGATATCAGCCAGGCTACTTAACAGAAAAAGAGAAACCCCTTACTGAACAACTGAGAAAAAGCAAAATAAGTTATAAAGGGTGGGGGGAGGGGGCTTCCTTTCAAATTAACCCTTTTAGTCTTCTGGAGCTGGCTCTTCCCCCAGACACTGGGGGTGGAATGGAAGCTTGTGGACGGTTTTTTTGTTTTTATGGTTTTTGTTTTATTATTATTATTTTTTAGGCTTTATTGTTGTTGTGAGCTGCCCAGAGTTGTGTTCTAAGATGGGCAGCCATACAAATCATTTAAATAAATAAATAAATAAATGAAATGAATAAAGCTTTAGATGGCCTTTAAAAAATCACCTATACATAAGGTGGCCATGGAACTTCTGAAAAACAGCTGTAGCTGCAAGAAGGAGAAGATAAGACAGAATATAGCAAAAGCAATTAGGACCACGATCTCTATGAATTATATACCTTATTTAATATCAGCATTAGGGGAAAGGGGAAAAAAAGAAGACTGAATATGAATAAATGAGTATGAGTGGCTGGGAGAGAAAAGATTGGAGTACAGCGGAGCACTCCCTTCTTAGACTGAGGAGGAACTTATAGGAGCCTTTGTACATTTTTTCTAAAAAGAAGTTCATGAATGGTCTTAAGAGTGGTGGGAGAGTTGGAATGGGAGGGAAGGGAGGAGAAAGGTGAAGCAGCAGGACTGGGATGGACAGATGGAGGGAGGAAAATGTGAAAAAGTTCTTTTAAATATGGTTGTCACTGTCATCAATTTCAACATCAACACTTCTGAAAGTGTTGTCAAGAAAATGTGTGGACTTGTCCAGGCAATTGCAAAGAAGGAAGG